AAAAAAAAAATTATTTTAAACGAAATAAATTGTTCCTCTGTTTAAAAAGTCAAAAATTCCATGAAAAAAAGCTTAATTTTTTATCACTACAGAGACTTGGATATGATATTTTTGATGTCCTATGATTTGCATGGACCGTGGGAGAGAAATGTTGATTTGCACGGTAAGTTGAATCCAACAAGAGGTGAGACTACTGGAATCGGCATCTACAATACTGTAAGTTTTTTGATATTTCCGCGTTTATCACGCTTACTCCGGCTTTTTGCTGAATTGGTCAGCGATCCCGTACCGGTATCCTTTGCGAAGACTTTCGTGTTTTCGCGGTGCAGTCAAGTGTCTAACACAGCTGAATCGGGTTTTTTTCGCCCATCCGTCGACCCAGTAATGCAAGGACTAAATGAGCCACTTGCTCTCAGCTGTTGTCTGTTTTCCGTTTTCCAAAAGCACTTTCTGGTTTGTTTTAAAGGCCTTCGGCATATTCATCCCTGCAGACGCAAATCACAGCCAGCCGGAAAGCGAAAAATTAGAAGACAGAGTTTGGAAGCGAGAACTGAAGCAGAAATTTTTTTTTGAGACATTTTTTGATGAACCAAAATTTACTGGGGAATTTTTAGAGGTTTGCAGCAAGCTATTGGGCAGAAAAAGGCATGCCGAGGAAAAAAATCATAATTGGGATTCCAGCTTACGGTCAAGGATGAACGTTGGCAAATTCTTTTAATACGGCAATCGGAGCTTCGGCCTGTGATAAGGCAGCGCCATCGATCACAAATCCTAGTGGTGGTACAGCGGCATACTGGAAGGTTTATTTTAAGTTGAAGTAATAAGCAATTCTGTGTATAAGGCTATATTCAATTTTTGGTGGGAAAATTTATGATGTCGTAGATTTGTAATTTCTTGAAATGTGGTGGTCGAGAAACAGTGGACAGAGAGGGTGTTGGCGCGTATATTGCTAGTGGAACTCAATGGTATGGATACGACAACCCAGAAACAATCAAAATCAAGGTACTAGCAATGGTCACAGCAGGATTTGCGTTCAGCATATTTTAAGCGACCCATGCGATCGACTACTGCTAATGCACGCATAGTTAAGGCACTTTGTGCAGTTCAAAAGGCCAATCTGGTTAACTCAATAAGCTTTATTATTTTTAAGCTTTGATTTTCAGTTACCGAACGGAACAACAACATTTTCCAGTTTGTGTTCATAGATGAAATAATTTCTAGATGGACTGGCTGAAAAGAGAAGGTTATGGTGGTGCGTTCTTATGGTCCCTCGATTTGGATAACTTCAGAGGTGACAGTGGCAGAGGCGTGTATCCATTATTGAGAGCTATCAACGATGGGCTCTTGTATAATTTATGCTAAAACCAACTCGCATTGATGTCCCATTCAATTTCAGCAACGCATTGAGCCCATGTACTTTGAAAAGCCGAAAATATTGATATAAACGATATGCTAGTATTTAACTCTATTTTGCATGCATCAGCACTATGAGGAAAAAAAATGCCTGTGAATGTGTGATGACTGCTTGTTCAGGCATTTCAGAACCTTGGAAGCTAGAAAGCTGGGAGCTTCAGAGCATGGAATAGGATAGCGAACATGTTAGTGAAGCTAATGCAGGTTTTTAGTTTTTCCTGCATCTTGATTTATAATCAAGATCAACATACATTTGGACTGCCGGTGCGATCATGTATTTTTGCATGATTCCATCCTACACCGAGATCGCCAGCACTGGGGTTTGCTTGCTATATTGCAGTCTGAACATTTGATACACCTTCATGCAAGAGGTATGTCTAAATAGAAGCTTATTTTGCGCTTGCTAGCCTCACGCTTTAACAGCAAACATCCGCTGGAAAATACTTTCCTACTCAGTCCGGTGGTCAAGTTAATTGAGGTACTGCGATTCGATTGCTTTGTTCCAAGTCGCGCACAATCTCACCAAGCTCATGCACAATCACTTCATGTTCATCCGTAGTTTTTAATGTCAGCAGCGCCTTAAAATTTCACCTGTGCACATGTGAAAATTAGCGTGTTTTAAAGCTAAATTTGAAATATTTAGGTCATGCATAATATGTTCTCGCAATATTTTAGCTGCCTATTCTAATTGATTGATGATATTGCTTGACGTTACAAATACTTCTAACGTGTTCGACTGCGGCACACAGGCATGCGCAAAATTTTATTATATGTTTACATGCTTACGTTTGAACAATAAGTATTTTTGTGAAGTCAGAACTGTAGACTCAGCCTAGCTCACGAATTGGTGTGCTAACAATATCGGTATTCAACTCTGACATACTCATACGAGTGATCCAGGTGTGCATAATCGCTGAATTTAAAACATTTCGCTCACACATGGACAGAAAATATCCGCGTGAAGTTTTTGCTTCTTATCCTGCCTGATCATTTTCCTAATATCGTCACTTATTTTGGTGAGTTTCCGGTATAAAAAATACTAAAAATCTGCACCAAATTTATCTCAAACATCGTATAATCGAAATCTGTGCATAGTAATAAATTTCGCTCATTTTCCTTCTAAATTATCATCACAATCGAATAGAAAGCACTTTGGAATTCTAGCTGCATCTGCATAAGTGCAAAGTGACTAGCACCTTCGGACGTTCGCACCCTGCAGGATGTGGCAGAGTTAACTTCAAATAAACGGCGGACAATAAAATCGTACACGAGCGCTGAAATTAGTTGATGATACAGTTGCCTTGGTTACCATCGAGCCACTGCTTGCTACCCTTAGGCTTCAGGTAAAGGTAGCATGAAAGCATGTGGCACTCCGTTCATCGATCCATACATACATCCTAATGCTCAACAATCTCTATGCGATCAAATAGGTAATCGCAGTTTGTGCCTGGCTATAATTCGGCTTGTACTGGTCAGCAAAATTCCTAATAATTTTCCCGACGATAGAATTGGGGCTTGTTGCATCGCGTAAGCGATCCCAAAAGGCTGGGCGTCCCATTTTTGCACTGCAGTCGTTAAGCTTCACGTGCTAGTTGAAAGATTAATTATTTAGATATGTACTCGTAGCCGAAATTTTTTTTTTCATTTTTACGATAAAAATGAGTGCTTGCATTTATCAAGCGCAGTGCAAAACATTATCAACCCACAATGCACCAAAAATGAGCAAAAATATGAAAAAGGCAAAAATTTCTTGCTAATCATCTTTTTTATTTTTGCTATTCTTCCTTTTATTCTTTGCTTTTTCCATTATTTTTCAATTTCCTCACACGTTTTCCTGCTTACATTTATGGCAAGTTCCCTAAAATATTTTTCACGCAATAATCGGTCTCGCAATCAGTCTCGCAATAGTCGATTCTATAAGTGTAAAAAATTTGTGACTAACGAAAAAGGAAATGATGGATGCTTTTATTTCGAAACTGCTTCTTTAATGATTTTGCTGATGCCATTGCTGCTCTCTCAGTTAGTCTTAACTTTCCAATGCTATCAGAAAAACAGATTAGCTGCATCCAGATTTGTAGTCAACATACTGTTCGAAGTGCTGATTGCACGTCAAGTGGTTCAAAACCGGTGGGCCTGGCATATGTGCACCAAGATCCCAATACCGTCAAATTCGGCTGTCTTTGGCTTGTTGCCTAACTTTTAGCAGAGTCCTTCCATCCAAGTTAATTGATCACCTGATTGGTAAAGGCATAAGCCTTTTCACGATGTTTTCTAAATAACGGAGCGCTGCGCCTATTTTGCCAACTCTTAAGTGTTTTCATGTAAATCACGTTTATGCGCTACCACACCGATCATCGGAGTGAACTTATTTAGGATTAAACTAACTTCCCCCTAGCTATCATATCTGCTCGGCTTTCTCTTGCAGCACTATTGAGCATAAGTGCTTTCTAGGGTAATTTGGCTTTCTTACAGAGAGTTAAAATAGAGTGTTTTCTGGAGTGTTGAGAGTTGCTTGGATACAGATCTATCGTATTTCAACAATAAGCCATTCTTTACCTTTCCACATCAAAACGAAACTCAAAAGGCTGAATCCCGAAGTGAAGTGAAATGCTTGTTACAGAATAAATTTGACTCAAAATAAATTTTGCAGTATAAATTGGCAATGCTGGCACCGGTGATGGCCGATCGAAGCATATCACCACTGTTACCTCGCGATGAAGATATAATCGATTTTTTACGTAGTAGCGAGTTCGATGTTCGCCTACAGGTAAGCGCAGTTTTCACTTTACTTCATCGGAAAGAAAAACATAACGAATCTACAACTTTTCAAGGACATAAAAGTAATACATACACATTAAATAAATTAAAGTAATAGTTGCATGCTAGTGTCATTTATTTTTTGCCGAATTGTGCCCTTCAGAGCCTATTATTTAATAAATACATATGCAGAGAGGAAGAGAGGAGGATGAATAGGGCATCGTCATACTACCGCATCCCCTTATCAAGCCTCCAGCGCAATCCTAGCAGCACTCTTTTGAAGGGAGTGCAATTGTGGTTTTCAAGGCGGATGTTTTTGGCCTAACAGACCACAACAATTAACATCAACTTTTATCTCTGTGCGATAGAATCTTGTGCTTCTCAGGAACTGTTATTGTGCGCGTGCCAGTAATCTATGTTTGATAAATATGAGGAAGCAAGAAGGATGAGCGAGCGACTTTTCCAGTTTTCATTAATACTTTTTCCGTACAAAAACTTATTAAACCCCTTTTAGCTGCAGAGCGTAATTTTTGTTGACGCATTAGCTTAAAGTCTCTGAATCTTAATTTTTCTGAACTCGGTATTAATGCTAGCAGCGGCCGCTTTCCTTTCTAAGGCATAATTTTATCTACAGTTAACACAACAAGGGAGTTTTTTTTGACAATCGACATGAATTTGAAGCGCATTGGTGCATGACAGATCACTGTGAGATTCACAACATTTTTTATTGTTTATTCAGTTTGGTGTCACGTCAGTTTTCATTCTTCAGCACCAAAATCAAAATTTTTCAAGGATAAGTGCATCTTTGGGGGGG